GATGGGTAGATGGATGGATGCATCTCTAGGATACTAAGTGCTATAGGGAAACTCAAAGATTAATTCCCTCAGTCTATGCCCTCAGGCAGGTCTATTCTAATAAGGGAGAGAAGACTCGGGCTCAAATAACTTCAGCATAAGATAAAAAGGAATGGCTCTAATGACTGTCATGAGAGTAAACATATGTGGCGACAGAGTCGTGCACAAGAGGCAATGCCATCTCATCCCAGTTGGGGAACAGGAGAGGCTGGTTTGCTGGCTTCTGCCCCTCTTAGGCTCCTGTCCCTGGTGCTTGGCCTCAGCCTCAGCCCAGTCCTGCCTCCTCGCCTGCCCTCTTGCTATGCGCCTGCCCTCTGAACCTTTCCTAACCCTAAGTCAAATTTCTCTCCTATGCTCTGTTTCCAACCATTCTGAGAGTGTTAAGAAGCTAATCAGTTAACTCTTCCAAGTAACATTTTTGCAGTTTAGCATTTTAATTTACGGGGAGCTTCTGGCACCATGGCAGGGAGGGGAGGGATGGGAAATGGGAATGAGGCAAAACCGATTCTGGTTCAGTCAAGTCACTTCCTGGGGTGATGATCTTTAGAGCAATGATGTGACAACAGGAACAGCCAATAATGGCCCATTCCCTGGGTGGGGCCTGCTGGTCTGTCTGGATGAGATGACTCATTATTAAAGTCCACACCACTGATTTGCACCATCCACTGGAAACCCCCCAAAAAACTGCTCTAAAATACTTTTTTTCTGAGATGGAGTCTCACTCTTTTCGCCCAGGCTGGAGGGCAGTGGTGTAATCTTGGTTCACTGCAATCTCTGCCTCCCAGGTTCAAGCAATTATCCTGCCTCAGCCTCCCAAGTAGCTTGGATTACAAGTGCCTGCCACTATACTTGGCTAATTTTTGTATTTTTAGTAGAGACGTGGTATCTCCATGTTGGCCAGGCTGGTCTCAAACTCCTGACCTCAAGTGATTCACCCACCTTGGCCTCCCAAAGTGTTGGGATTACTGACGTCAGCCACTATGCCCAGCCATATTTTGAGCTCAAGGCAGAATATTCTCTTTTAGAGGCCAATGCAAAGATCAACCTTTCACATTCTCCTCAGAGACAAACAAAAATGCAAGCTGGATGAAATAACTGCCAAGTGAGGAGAGCATGAAAACCCCTACAATGTCAGGACTCCAGACGGAGCACCCAGGAATGCCAGTCTACTGTTTTGCATTCACCCACTGAATGTGCCAACCATGAGGGCTCCCAAGAGGCTGGCAGGGACACAGAGTCATGCACTGTTGGGACTATTGGCAAGAAGGAACAGCCGGCAACCTAGGTAGCAAAACAGACACGCATTATCACATTCTATCCACTCACATGTGCGGGTAGTGATACACCCTGTGCACACTGGAATGGTGCTCGCTCTTCCCAGGTTACTGTTCCCTGCCCACACCCATGGATGGGAAATCCCTGGGGGATACCGATAAACACACGGTGCCCGCCCTCAGCAGCTCATCCTGGGAAGACAAGATTTGTTGACCTAGTATGAAGATGTCACTTGGCCATATCCACATTGTGCAGGGTGAGCGCTCTGGTGCCCTTAGCGGAGGGCAGGCCCATCACAAGA